TGCCTCATTTTATTATCCTGATCATGTTGAAACAAGAAGGACTAGGATTCCTAGAAATGTTCATGTAGGTGAAGGTTCTCCATCCCCTCCTCCTATTTCAATTTTCAACTACCCAGGAAGACCAATAGGAAAATCTCAAACATATTTTCTGGACCAAAGAGACTATGATGCTGCCGAATTATATGTTCTTCAAAATTGTGAAGAGGTTCAACCATATTTTGAGTAAGATGTTTTCACTCTTCTCACATCAAAATTACTCATGTTACTTTGTGTGGTTTGAGTAATTTGTTACGTGTTTGCAGAATTTATATTGAATATTTAAGACAGCTAAATCCTAGTATTTCTGGTGCCCAAATTGACCAAGACATTTCATCCCATTTTCCTAAATGGTTTAAAAAATATGTAAGTTTTTTACTTATATGTCTTACAAATATTTATTCTGACTTACATAGTCTAATGTGTAAAGGACTTTGCTGTCTTTAGGTTCTAAATCCAGAAAATAATATTGAAGATCCATTATTGGTTAATTTGGCATGGGGTCCCAAGAGAAAAGTTGAATCATGGCCTATGTATGTTATCAATGGATACAAATTCCACACTATTGTTTGGAGTGAAGGCATGAATTCCTGTAACTATGGTGTTTATGTATGAGGAACCAATGGTCAATTAGAGTCAGATTTTTATGGATTATTGTCTAATATTATTCAATTAGAGTATACTGGTTTTCCATTGATGAATTTAGTTCTCTTTCAGTGTGAATGGTTTGACAATACTCTTAATATAGGAACCAAAGTAGATAATAAGTATGGAATCGTGGAAGTAAAGCAATCACGAAGATATAATAAAGCATATGATCCTTTCATATTTGCACAACAAGCGGAACAAGTTTATTACACAAGTTATCCGGAGGGACACCGAGGTTGGTTGGGTGTAATAAAGACAAAATCTCGTAGTAGAATCATTGATAATATAGTCAGTCAAGTTGAGCATGAGACTCCATACCAAGATGATGAGCTTGTAGGACTTGAAGTAGTGCTTCGTATTGATCCTAACTTCATTGATGATTCCCTTGCTGATGTTAATGGTGGGGGAGAAGAAATAGATATACAATTACTAAATGAAAGAAATATAGATGAAGATGAGGATGAATATATTTCAAGTGAGGATGAGACTGAGAGTGATTTTGATGATACAGATACTTCGGTAATTCATGCATTAAAATTATTTTTACAATTGTTAAATTTGATTGTACACCTTTATTTAATATTGCATATATATACATACATATATATATATATATATATATATATATATTGATATGATTATGATTTAATTATTTGCAGTGAATGAGTGGTAAGCTAACCGACACGTTTGGGTGTAGAAAACACAATCGGGTAATTCATTGTTTCAATTGTTTAATTTTATGCATGTTACATATGTAATAAGATCCGCTTGTAGATGCCACAAAGGGGTAGAAGTGGTGGTCGTAGACCACCTCATCGTGGTGGTCGAGGTGTACTTGGTTGATGATAGAGGTTCACCCAGCCCTAACTCTCCTAGTTCCGTTCGACCAAGATCCATGGAGTCTACTAATCCTATGTTTGTAGAACGCACACCTCCCTCAACTCAGCAGGAATCTCCTGTAGCTATAGTAGGAGAAACAATTCCTACTACCTTCTCTGCTGAGGTGACATTTGGTCAACCTACACAGTACCTGGGTCGGTCGCAACCGAGGTTGAGTCTGGAAATATGGTTGATCAAAGGCCATGGTTACAAGCGGACAAAGGAGAGTAAGTATGTTTTAATTTAATTATAATTCTTTAATATGAAATTTCTTAATAATATCAATCCCACAATATGTTTCAACACAGGTTTATACCAACGAAATGGTCCTCCCGCTATAATCTCTAGAATCATCAAACAAAAATTTGATGAACCAAGTCCCACTTGGAGAAAGGTTTCACTTGAGCTTCGAGATAAATGGTTTGGAGAGTTCAAGGTAATTTGAATTATAGTTACATTAAACAATGTCATTTCATTCTTATAAATTAAATGTTTGTTGTGTATTTTATTTATGCAGAAAGAGTATATATGGGATGTGGAACAAGAGCAAGCCATAAGATCTGTTTTTGATAAGAAAGGTTCTCAAATTTTAAAAAACTCAATGAACAAAGTTAGGAAGGGTAAGGATACGGGAATCTGGATACCGCCAGCTGTTCGAGCATCTTTGGACTTACATTGGAGTTCTCCAGATTTCCAAAACAAGAGTGCCATTGCCAAGGCTAATCGAGCTGTTGATAAGGGTGCCTCAGCTTATCGTGGGGGTTCCATATCTACTGCAGCTCACTTTGAGAAGATGGTAAGTTTATTATATTTTTATATAAGTAATTTAATACAATATATTACACTTTAGGTAATGAATTTTGTCTCATTTTAATGTGTAGACTACGGAGTTTCAACGGGAACCAACCGTTTGGGAGGTTGTTGAGAGGACAAAGAAATTAAAGACTGGACAATGGGTCAATGAAAAAACTCGTTATCTTGCTGTATGTTTAACATCTAAGTTATAGTTTATTATTCAATATATGTTTTCTTCATAATAATTATATTTCACTTCATTTTTAGGAACAATATATGCAGCGCAGAGAAGAAGTTCATCAACAAAACTTGCGTGAAAGCTCATCTTCACAAGAGTCTCCTATTGTCTCTGTTGATGATAATCAAATATACATTTCAGTTGTTGGAGGTGAAAATAAAAAAGGAAATGTGTATGGACTTGGTACATTGAGCAAAAAGTTCACTACTACATCAGGTTCTCAATCTTCTACTCAAACTCCAGTACTTCATCAAATTGAACAAATGCGTGAGACTATTGAAAAGTTAAATGCTGAATTGGTGGCAAAGCATAATAAGGAGAAGACACTTGAAGAAGAGATGCAGGAGTTGAGGAACAACCAACGCCAACAAGATGAGCAGATGAAGCTTATTTTACAACATATTCAAATGAATAGTCATCCTACTACAAGTCAACATGACACTAGTCAACATGACACTGACAATATACCAGAGGACTAATTTTCAATTTTATGATATTAAGACTTTGAATCTTGAGTAGTTGTTAAGTTCTTAAGTTTCATTTGTGTTATGTTTGGATGAATTAAGTAGGTACAAATTTTGTAAAATTGGATATACAAAATTTGACTTTAGTTCTTAAGTTTTTATTTATATTATGTTTGAATGAATTAAGCAGGTACAAATTTTATGATTTGAATAATTTGACTTTAGTTCTTAAGTTTTCATTTGTGTTATGTTTGGATGAATTAAACAGGTACAAATTTTGTCAAATTGGATATACAAAATTTTAAACGAAAATTTTCGAATTTGGTTAGATTAGCGACCGAATTTTTGGTCGCTACAAATTTATTATAATATACAATTCAAATTTAGCGATCGATTTAACGATCGATTTAAATTATTATTTAAATAATTCAATTAATATATTAGCGATCGATTATATCCGTCGCTATTATTTTTAATTTTGTCTCCAATTTAGCGATCGATTTTAATTATTATTTAAATAATTATATAAATATATTAGCGATCGAATAAATCGGTCGCTATTTTTTAAAATTTTATCACGGATTTAGCGATCGATTTAGCGATCGATTTATTATATTATTTTCGGTCGCTATTTTGGTCTCCAAACAATAAGTGACCAAATTATTTAGCGACCACTTTAGCGACCACCTGATCGGTCGCTAACGAATTAGCGACTCGCCCTTTTGCGACCACCCATTTCGGTCGCTAAATTCGGTCGCTAACAGAATAACGATCGATTTTTAACCATTAGTGACTGATTTTTTCGGTCGCTAAAAGCGTTTTTTCTTGTAGTGCTTTAATATAAAAATTTCACTACAAGCATTTAGTAACAAAAAGAATTACAAATATTGACAAACAAAAATTTCAAACATTTATTAACAAGCAACAAATTATTAAAAGTAAGAATGTTACCTTGGTATAATCTTCTTCTTTTTTTCAAGTTATAAAGGCTAAAATGTTACTTTTATTTTATTTTTCTTTTAGGTTAGCCTCCTAATAAATTTATAAAAATTTTATTGTGGTCCCTTAGAGTGTTCTTGTTGTATTAAAATAGTCATTCCATCATGTTTTGCACTAACATAGCAAAACTTATCAAAATTAACTGTATATTCGATTCATATAACATCATAGGAAAAAAAAAACAAAAAAAAATAAAAATTGATGAACATACCCCTAATTTTGGAGGTATAGAAAACAGAACTATATAAAGAGAGAGGAAAAAAAAACAGTAACTTTAATAGACAATATACTAAAATAAAGATAGAGGTACAATGAAAAAGAATAAGAGAAAAGAAAAAACATATAGTTATAATAATTCTTTGTATCCATTAGGAGGAAGAAATATGTTTTGTAATCACACTTTTAGTTTGTACAAAACAAATTGAATAATCATTTCGTATTATAATTGCGTAATGTGCGTGTTATGTTACCTTCAACCTTAAAAATATTAACCAATACATATTATTAGTCTTTATTTTCCTTTTATCAATCACACTAATTCAAAGATAAATTTTCTACTCAATATAATATTATTTTAGATATTTAAAGTTGTTAAAGTAAGCATAAGCATGTTATTGTTATTTGACAAAAACGCGTACCAGTTGTTGAAGACGCATACCAAACAATTTAATGGACCAAAATGAATGATTTTCCTTACCTTTGCCGAATAGTGACTGTGACTACCAAACCACGATAAAGAAAAGCAAACAAATTTAATTTGGGGGAAACTTCTGGGAAAGTAAGTTTAGAAGAAGATATCAAAATTTAGATTTTACATTAACTAAAACAAATCTACATATAATTTAAAAATAGATTTTAAAGAAAGAATTCTACAAATTAATAAATAAACTAATTTTAAATATAAAGAAAATCATTAAAAAAAAAAAAAGTTTCTCCGAACATTAGGCATGAAACGAGAGTTTACCTGGAGGTTCTGATATTTGGGTTCCATTAGAACCAACAACAGTAATCTCTCTGTAGAAATGTCTTGCCCCAAACATCAAAGTGCAACTGGGAAACAGAACCATTCCACCAACCCTTCCAAGACAACACAAAGAAATATCTCTCATAATATCACCCAAACACTTGCTGCAATCTTCGCTTGATAGATCTGGCGTGCACTGAACAAGAGTATGAACTTTCTGAGACCCAAACACGGTAGCGTTTTTCGTTGCGAATTTCATGGTGCCTGCGGGACCAGCGTTCGCTGCCTCACTCACAGCATCACTCAACGTTTTCGATAACAACCAGAATCCATAGCTTCCTTCCTCCTTTGTTGAATTCGTTACGTTGTAATCCATGAAGTTAAACCTAGGCAACTCCTCCAAGGTGGAGAAAAAACAGCGGTTCGAATAACGAACCAAACATTCGTGGTACCAAATTAAGGCCTCTTTGGAGTTGGGACACACTTTGGATATTTGTTGGGTTGCAGTTCTAATGCATTCTTGGCACGTGTGGTTGGTGACATCACCACGGCACATGAAGGAGCCATAAACGATTTCGTTGGCGTCTCCACCACCCGTTGTGGTGTTGAAGAATTGTGTGGTGGTGGCATGGGAAGCTAGGGATGTGAGGAGGGTTTGGAGGTTGGATTGGTAGGGCGTGTTTGGAGTGAAGGTTTTATTGCTTGAACAACTGTGATTCAGGTAGTCAACTTCAGTGGCATAGAATATGGAAAAATTGAAGAAGAAGCCCAAAAGGAAAAGGTTTACTGCTAACATGTTTCATTCATTCATTTGCTGCTTGTTGAATTACTGATGGAGGATAGAGGAAGATGAATAATTAATATACACAACACAAGAAGATTATTATATACATGTTTCATTCAGTCCTTTCGATTTGTCACCTAATGAAAAAGACTTGCCCTACCATAAATGCTTACCTGTCCCACGAGAAATTTATAAGTATATAGAAAATTAGGAAAAGCGGTTTGGTTGAACAGAGAACCCATAATTTGACTGCTACATGCATATCGAATGCTCCATTACACTTCACACGACACTTAGAATAACTAACAAAACATTTGTGGTTCCAAATTATGACATGTGGCTAGAAATTACATGTCTTCAAAATCTCAATACGTGCCCCTTTCTTCTTCAATAAAAAGGTCCATCCATCATTTATTTACCGAGCCTCTTAAATACAATTTAAAAAGAAGACGTAAAAATGAACATTTTTTATCAGAAATATAAAAAATTGTTAGATTTTAATTGTTAGATTTTAATTGTTATGCATCATTAAAATAATTTTTTTATAAAAACTAACAAATTTATAAATTAATTTAATTTATGTACTTTAATTTCAATTAATAAAAAATAAGTTTTATTTTATTTTTATATTCTAACTAAAATATATGAATATTTTAACTAGTTTGAATGAGTAAAAAAAATAAATTCAATTTAAATTTAAAGATCCTTTTATTAAATTATTATAATGGATTTGATTCGAATAATAGTTATACACATTAATTAACTTGATTGTTGAAAAAATATATATAATAACTTTTAATTTTATGTTAAATTTTCAAAATAATGCAATCATGATCCCTTAAAAATGATCCGGGAAAGACCAAGTTTAATCATTACACTTTTTCATAAACAATTAAATAAAAAAGTTTGGTTGACTTATTAAGAAATATAAATAAGGATAATCAATCTGGTCTTGAGAAAAAATTATAAATTTTATAAATATTATGTGATGTGATAGAAGGATGAAGATAAAATAAAACAATAAAAATGAATAAGATATTTAAAAATAACAAACTTACGTGCAAAGATTATTCAAATAAGTCTATCGGGCCGGCACAGTATCTGACCTATGTATGATACCATAAATGACAAACACTGTACAATTAAAAACTCACACGAGTGGATATAAATTAAAATGATAAAAAAGAAACTTTTTATGAAATATATACAAATAAAAAATAAAAGAAAAAAATTCATGAAAAAACATATAAAGAAGTATAATTAAAGAATTTAATCCAACCAATAAATTAAATTAAATTAAAAAATGTATAACGTAAATTAAATTAAAACTATTTTCATTTAAATATGAATTATAATTTATATAAAATTAGATTAAATTAATTTATGAATTAATCTGTTTTATAAAATAATAATTAATTTTTAAATAAAAAAATAATATTTTATTACAACATATATATATATATATATATTATAAATTCATTTGACATATATTTATTATTTATAAAAATTATTCTTTAATAATTATTTATTTTAAGATTTAATTATTAATAATACTTATTATTTTAAATTAATAAATTATTAAAAATAAATAATAATAATAATAAATAATAATTTTTTAATTTTTATTTTATTTATTTTAAGATTTAATTATTAATATTAATTATTATTTTAAATTAATAAATTATTAAATATAAATAATAATAATAATAATTAATTAATTTTTAATTCTTATTTTAAAATTATATGGATGTAATGTTTTTAATTTATATTTTAAATTATTATATCTTAAATAAAAATTAATTTTATTAATAAAATTTAAATTTTTAAAATATATTTTATTTTTAATTAAATATATTTTTAATTAATTAATTTTGTATAAATATATCAATGGTTTAAAAAAATTTAATCATACCAAAATTGACTAAGTCCATTGGTATGACATAGATCATCTTATCATCAAATTTTTTAGTTGACACGAGTAGAATAAGTTGGGTTAAACTCAACTGTAAAGTAATATATAAAAAGAAAAAAAAATATAAATGAGTATTTTTACATATGAATACGAAAAGAAATAAAAAATGATTTTGTTATTATCGTACCCATACTAAATGACGGAGATTTATGTAGTAAAATTAAACTATTATCGTGGATAAAAATTACTTGCAGACATTTCATTGACAGAGAATGGCATGGAACTGTTGGCAGATATGCTGGAACTTGATCCTTCCTGTGTAACTACTTTTTTGTCCATCCCGTGTAAGAAAAAGGCAGGTTCTTGAGGAGATGGCAGTTCAAGTGAATGATTATTAAGATATGAAACAACTGCTGCCATACTAGGTCTCACATTTGGATTCTCTTGAACACATAATAAACCAATTTCAATGCATCGAATCACTTCACTTTCATAATCATTTTCTTTCATATTTGGATCCAATATACTCATTGCTGTTTCATTCTTCCAATGTCTCCACACCTGTAATAAATATCATATTAGTTCAATATTGAATTAAGTAACCTTGTACTCAGACCTTTTTTTTCTCTTAAATACATTTCATTTGTTTCACACAACTTCACTATAATTGACTTCATGTGTTAAGTTATAACACTTACATGAGTCATGAGACCTTCCTCCGCATGCTGTGATTCATAAGAATTCGCATTCTTTTTGCCTGTAATAATTTCGAGAACGATGATTCCGAAACTAAAAATATCTGACTTTTCAGAAAATTGTCCAAGCATTGCATATTCCGGAGACATATAACCACTGTTGACGAAAATACAGATTAGCTAAATTATATCTTGGTCAAAAGTGATTGATAGAGTGGATATGTATAAATGGATTAGAATTTGCAACTTACTATGTTCCAACAATTCGATCAGTTTCAGCACGATTTTGATCAACATCAAAAATTCGAGCCAAACCAAAATCTGATATTTTAGGATTCATATTTTCATCTAACAGAATATTGCTAGGTTTGAGATCACGATGTATAATTTTAAGTCGAGAATATTCATGTAAATAAAGAATTCCTGAAGCAGTTCCTCGTATAATTTTATAACGCTCGTACCAGCTTAATTTCTGTTGTTGTTCAGTATCTGCAATACCAAATGAATGAGAAAAAGTAAGAAATGTTTTAAACCCACCACCTGAACTAAAATGCATAATCATTTTCAGTAATTAAAAAGTTTAAGGTAAAAAGAATCAAACCAAATAAAAAGTAATCGAGGCTACGATTAGGCACATATTCATAAATAAGGATCTTCTCTTGTTCTTCTAAGCAAAACCCCATGAATGCCACAAGATTTCTATGTTGTAGCTTAGCTATCAATAAAATCTCGTTCTTAAACTCGATTGAACCTTGTTTAGAACCTGTTGAAAGTCTCTTTACAGCTATATGCCGTCCATCTGGAAGAATACCCTACAAATATAAACCATTATTATATAGAAATTTGATCTCTAAAAATATAAATTTGATTTACCTTATAAACCTCTCCAAATCCACCTTTTCCAATCTTGCTCTCACTTGAAAAATTATCCGTCGCTACTTTAATAGTAGCCAAATCAAATTGCAACCCTTCTAGAATGGAACTTTCTTCACCAACTGGACCAATATGCTTGTCAATATAAGATTATAAACTTGCAAATGATTAAAATCGAAGTTTGTATTCAATACAATCACAATACATACAATTTTCTTTTAGAAGGTTCTTTCGCCTCTTGCTTGCTCTTCTCCTTTGCAAATAGTAGAAGAAAGCAAAGAGAGTTGCCAAAGTAACAATGGGAACAACAACTACGATAATTGTTCTTGATCTACTCCATTTATTTTCTGCACAACAAATTTATGTGTTATTCATACACTAATAATTTTGCCATAAATATATGTATTGTCATACGCACGCACGCACAATATTTTTTTATCTATTTAATATTTTTATTATATAGAATTGTTTAACTTATTAAAATAAACTCCTTTTTATATAACTTATATATGGTGTGTTTATTTAGAGTAATTTTGAAAAGAAAGAAGTTGATGAGAGAGAAGTGAAAATGAAGCTTTCTGTGTTCTGAGGATGGAAAATGAGAGAAATTGTATGATAATATAAAGAGAAGAAAAAGATGTGAGGGGAAGATATTTTATAAAGAAATTTGGTGGCACCCTCGGGACCCACCATTTATCAAAATCAAATTGTGACGTGTGTCATAATCAAAGTGCTCTAACAACGTTGGTCGTTGTCCTATTCTGCGGGAAGAACCGTGGGGCATTTACAAAGGTGATGTGAGAGGATTTCACCATTATCAGTTTTATGAGGTAGGAAAAAAATAGAATCACTTTGATACGTTACATTAACACTTTTTACATTAACTATTTAAGCTATATTTGGATAAATAAATTCACTGTGTATTCAGTGGTAACTTTTTATTACTTGAAAACTTATGATTTAGTTCATTATCAAATTTATTGAAATAAGTTAGTAAAAAAAAACATCAGTCTTCTTTTCGTAAATATAATTTGCTGTTTTCACTTTTATTCCTAGTATTATTCTTCTTCATAATTTTTGTATCATTTAAAAAAAAGGGGAAACTTTTGATATATTTGCAAGGACAAAATACCAAGTTTTGTACCCAAAAAAAACATTTAAAAAATATAAAATCATAAACCATCCTCTTCAACTCTGATAAGCTTCCCTCAACTCTCTGAACCCCAGCTTAATTTTCTTCAATTCAGACTAGTTTTAACTGTGTTCTAGATATCGCAAACAGTTTCATTACATTGATTCTTCTTTTGATTCTTATATCTCAGGATGTATGTGTATATATATAAATTAAACGGGTTTAAGTTTAAAAATAACAGAGCCACTAAAAGCATATAGAATTGAACTATCTTTACCTCCCAATTTCGCCGGCGGTGTTGGCGAAGTTGCCGGACCAAGAGATCGAAAAAATGGGTAAATTTCAAACCTGATGACGCAGTTGGGATACAAAACTCTTCCTCCCTGTCTTCCTGCACAGCACCGTGGAAGATCGAAGTTTATCAAACTATCCAGACAGCTTCTGCAATCTCGGGGTGACAGGTCTGGCGTGCACTGAGCAAGACAATAAAGCTTCTGAAATATATCTATGTCTGTTTCCCTTGTGGAGAATTTTTCGTCACCATTACCTGAACTCGCTGCGTTATCCGCAGTTTCGTTCAAGCTCACATACACCAAACGCTTGAAGCTTTCTTGGTTTGTCATGTTGATGGGGCTCGCCAAGACATAGCCTAAGTTCACTTCCATGGTTGCGGTGCCGAAGAAAGAGACGTTGGAATACCGAACTATGCACTCGTCGTAATACACCACAGCTTCTTTCGACAACGAACAATCTGTATGTGTGGATAGTCTCTGCGTCGCGTTTCCGACGCAATTATTGCATAGGCCGGAGGGGATGTCGCCTCTGCACATGAATAATCCGTACACTGTGTCGGAGGTGTTTGCCCCCGTGACGGTGTTGTTGAAGAATTGGACATTGTTGGAGGCTTTGGAAGATAAGGAAGAGAAGAGGGTTGTGAGGGCCCTTTGGAAGGTGCTATTGGGAGTGAACGTGTTTTTAGAGCAAACTTGGTACTGATAAGAAAGGCCCTGTGCTCTAATCTCAGTAAAACAGAGGGAGATAAAAAAGGTAAAGGGTATCACATAGTTGAAATACGAAGCCATGGATATGTTGATGCAGAATCTGTGGTTTTTTGTGAGGATGCAGAGTTCCATTTCATAGTACAAGTGGAGAATTTTTTTTTTTTTCGCATTTTCATTCATGACAAGGACTTTACGTAAACTACCAAACTTCTTACCGGTAAATCGGCGTTAATAGGTTAGTAGATAAATTATTTAATAAATTAAATGACTTTTGTTTAATTAATGTTATTAATCTCATTGGTTGATATCATAAAATTAAACAAATATAATACATTAAGTGTATCCCACGTATTGTGATGAGATGAGTTAATCATGCCATATATGATTAAGATCGAAATAACTGACAAAAGACCTTCATATATTATTAAAATTTAAACACTTAATTAATAGCATGATTTTAACAAACCTTCAAAAATGCATTACATTTTTACTCCGTCAGTGAAAATCGTTATAAATTTTTAAAATATTTGATGGATCCATTTTATCAAAGAATCCGTAGTCATTGTGTATCCAAACAATGAAGTTGACCTAGTTGCAGGATAAAGAGACTATTTCTTTTATACAATGACAAGAAGACATTCTAAAATGTTTATATTATTTGATTAATGTAATTTTTTCTTCTTCTTTTTTTCTCCTCTCTTTCTTATAAAAAAATGAACGAATAAATGTCACCAAACTATAAAATTGTCCACATATTGCACCATGAGTCACTCTGAGAAGAATTTTAGTCTATCTTACATCATCTATTTTCTTGGGTGTTCCAATTCTTCTCCATCGAAATTTACGTTCCATAAATATCAGAAATAGTCCTTGTCCACTTCATAACCGAAAAATAAATAAAAATAAAATAGAGGTCGTCGTGTAAACTAAAATTTATATTATTGTTTAATTATTACTTTTTAGTTCTCAATTACAACTTTGATTCTTTTATTTTAAATTTTAATGTTTTTCGTACTTGTTATATATAACTTTTAATGTCATTAATTTCCCATCAAACTTAAAAAATAGATAATTAAAATTTTAAGATGATTTAAAAGGTCAATTTTTTGTTAAATTTAAAACAAAATGACGTAAATAAAAGAAGTAGCTTAAAGTTTAAAATTGGTGGTGGTTGATCACCAAAAACTATTAATTTAACTTATTAAATTATAAACATTTAATAAACTATTAATGTAGTTAATAAATGTAAAATGATAGAAACGAATATGTGTATATGATATTTTAGTTTTATTTTTTTAGCATTGTATTATAAGGGTATTTATTTTATTTTATTTTTAAATTTTTATGATATTTTATAAAATAATTATTTAAAATAAAAAAAAACTGAATGTGATTTTTTTTATCTAGACAATATAAATATTATTTTGCTACCCCAAATCAATCTATACATAAAGATGTATTCGATTTCGAAGTGTACCCCACGTGTTATTAAATGGAAAAAGAAATGTCACTAAACACGGGTATAGATCGAAAATTGTCCACACAATCGATATTTATTTTCATGCCCGTCCCTAACTTTTCCATCATAATTTATAGTTTGAAAAATATCAGAAATAGTCGTTGCGAGTAAATACTTTGATGATTTAAACATATTTCTTTTCTCAATTATAGCTTTGTTTCTGGTGGAATTTCGATCCATTTCGACTCTTAAGATATTTTGATCCTAATCAAAATTCTACCACGTAAGTTCTTTTTACTTAGGCTAACAAATTAATTTTCAATCGAGATGTGTATGAAGATCGAATTTTACCCGATTTCAAAGATACTATTTTTGGTGTTTTATATTTAAAGTGCTCGAAGTAAAGAAAGTAGAAAATTCGTGGAATCGAAAATCAGTGCTGAACATTAGATTGCAAAGAAACGTAACATGCTGAAATCTTAAATTTTGCTTTAAGTATAAAAGCCAGGGAATCGAAACAGCAGAAATGTAAATAACAGGAAGTATAAATAACGGTAAACCAAATATGCAGAAAGTATAAATAACTTGGAAATCGAAATCGCATCAATGTTAAATGACAAGAAAACTTAAACGTGGAAATCTAACTTTCATTGAATCAAAATGACCAAAATCGAAAGCACAGAAACATAAAATTGCTAAAGATAAATTGCATCAAAGTAAATTACCAAGGAAAATACAGAAAACGGTAAAGGTACTCAATGAGCGTAGAAATCCAGATTGCCAGAAGCTTCATGATGTTCGTCGTTTCTCCGGTAGACTTCTCACTAATGATTCTATTCTCTGCCAATTTCTGCTCCCCTTTCCTTTCATCCTTCGCCATATTTATAGAGTATCCTTTAAGCAAGTAACTTCTTAAGAGCAGTTAATGAAAAATGCTACCACGTCCTACGTGCATGTTGCAGTTTCTTCTTCGGTGTCAAAACTGCACCCACGTTCCCATGATCTTCGACTTCTGTCATGGTTTAAAAAACTGCCTTCACGTTCCCATGCATGAGGTAACTGCTTCTTTTGACCGACCTTTGCCATCGCTTGCCACGTTTGACGTACACGTCAATTGTTTCTTTCTTTATAACTTATCCGGGATTTCGATACATGGGTTAGCCTTTCTCCGATGTTGATTTCGGAATCTCGAGAACGTTTGACTTGCTTTTGATTTCTCTTAATCTTAACATTACATAATTCTGGTTTCTCGATTTCATTCACTTACGGGTATTAAACATTCATCCTTCGATTCTCGATTCAAACTCTCGCTTATATTGTCACATGGTCGTCGAACGCATTTTCCAGCTATCTTTCGATTTATCAGTCTTTAACTCAATCAAAAAAGATTCTCAATTTGCTCCCATTTGTTTCTCGATTTTTCTTCCCTTCGTTTTTTCGATCACTTTTCTCGATTTTCCACTAACAAAATGCCCCCTTGGAAGAATATAAATAGTTTCCTTTTATATTCTTTCAACACGATTCTCGCTTTCACTCGTTGGAGGCCCACAATGATTTAGGGTTTAGGGTTTCTGGGGTTTTAGGGTTTATGGGTTTTTAGGGTTTCTTTTTGCTTTATGTCGCCGTCTCGTCAGTCTGCTGCCTTGCAGTACAAGCCACATTAATTGTCTTTGCTTCTGTCGTTTCCAGCACCATTTTCCCTTTAAACTCTATTAGTTTTTTATTCTGGTTTTTTTACGCGAATTTTTACCTCTTTGCAACATCGTCTTCCTCCTTGAGCTCTTGCCTTCGTCCTTGCTACCCCACCTTTTAACCTCTATCTTGCTGCTTTCTTTAGCTTATTGAAATGCCAACTTCGTCCAAGTCTTCTGATTTTTCAACTCCACCTCTTCCTTCGTTGACGGCTAACCTTATGGAAATCAATAACCAGAAGTTTGCTCCAGTCCCTCTAATGGAGGAAGCTTCTCAGAAAGTCGCTGAGACGCAGGTACTCATTCCTTACACTGCTGATGGTGTTAATTTTGGTTTTGGGGGTCCTATTCGTTCTAGTAGTGGGACTTTTTCTTCCTTCATCCTCTCGAATAGTCCAGCACTTATTCACCACCCTGAAGTTCGGATTAATTTTTTGACTATGGTCTCGAGAGTATACCGGACGGGTCCTCCTTCCAAAAAACCTTCTTTTATTAGGTGGTTTGATAGAGTAGAAGCCAAGTTTGGGAACCATTGGAGAGATATAGGCATTTTTTATTTTTTACACCTATCTCGATGCGACTTGTCGTTTTTGGATATGGCAATGTTTTTGTCTGCGGTGCATTTGTGGAATAAGGAATTACATGCTTTGGAGTTACCCTGTGGTCCCCTTTCACCTACTCTCTTTGAGGTTGTTGCTATAACCGGACTAAAACCCACTGGGGAAAAGTATTATAAGGGTGCTTACCCTTCGGATAATTCTTTGAGGTCTAAAATCGATTGGGAATCGAAGGCCTATGGTCATTTCCTTGAGAAGCATTTCGTCGATGACGAATCGATAACTGTGACTGACGAAGAACATATAGTCTTTTTGGTGTATTGGCTATGTACCCATGTTTTCTGCCCCCGATCCATCCAAATTTTCTCCCACCTCTACAACCTCGCCTACCTCCTCCATACTGGCCGGCCTAGGATATGTTTGGCTAAACTTTTGTTGGCCCACATGTATACTGCTTTCGACGAAGCTGTCGACATTTTGAGTACTCCTAAAGCATCGGGAAATTTCTCTGGCCCTATTTGGTTTGTACAGTTATGGCTGAACTTGATTTTTGAGAGCATCCTTCCCCCAACTTCCACTATCCCCCTAAGTGTAAATATCGAAGGTGCTCGGTTGTCTTCTCGCAACCCTCATCACAAGCCTGACGAAGCGGCTTACTATAGATATCTTAAGTTTTTGTTAACTAGATTTAATTTCGATTCAACTCTGGCTCCCTTTACCGTGCATCTAGGACGAATCAGCGACCAACTTCGAGGGCCAGTTTGGTTTAAGTCGAAATTCCCTTCCTTAACTCCTGGGTTACAATCGAAGTTGGTTGATGTATGGAGTAGTTATTTGACCCATGATGTATTAGTATCGGGTTTTCAGTCAAAAGATTTCAAGCTCATCACCTATTATCCCCAAATTTTCTCGAGACAATTTGGTCTGAGTCAATCCACACCTTTCTTCCCCCTCGATACCTCCCCAAGGTCCAAGTTAAGTGAGTCGACAATCGGACGGGAGTTGACTAAACTACTACCACAAACCCCACTACTTTTTTATCCCTATGCTTTTGAATCAAATTATTTGTCAACTGTGGGTTTCTCTCAGTGGTGGACTGATTGGTTCTCGAATAATCATTCTGCTTTTGACGAAGTCCGACAAAAATTGACTGCTCATCCTTCTCTTGTATTGCAGGACAAATCGAAAGCGAAGAAAGGTACACACTTCCACTGTCTTCAAATATCTCGATTCGAGAATTTTTATCAAATATGTTACAACCCACTGAAATTAGAATCGACCTATTACGATGTTGTTATCTCCTTATCCAATAAAACAGACACTAATCGATCGAACCACAAAATAATCAATCCTCTAGGTAGAACCCCTTTTGAA